TTTGTTGTAACGTATGTTTGCTACACATAGTAAAAGTCTTAACATTTACTGCTCCATAACATATACTATTGCTTCTTTCAGGCCTTTTTTATGTTGCCCTAAGCATTTACTCTAAATCAAGAGAAAATTCTGAAGGGGGAAAAAAAGATTTTTAATCTATTTAAATGTTAGCGGCTTTCTATTACAGAAGATGGAAAAATACACTAAGAAATCATTTAAACCTCTGGAGGCCAACACTCTAAGCTGAACTGGACGATTTTTTTTTTTTTGTACACTTGTCAAGTTAAACATATTTCATATTTATAAAATGCTACTTGAATTCTGCACTCTCAAAAGTAAGATTCTTAAGATACTAGGATCCTATGCTCAAAACACCCTTTGTTTCTGAAGTAAATGTTAGGAGATACTGGTGTATTTAAAAATGGTATTTGTTGATCTCTAACAAGTATTTCTAGAGTGCCAACTTTGTGAAGTACAAAGTTTGGGATGGTGGGAGCATTGCAGTTAACAAAACAGATAAAAATCCTGGCCTTTAAGAAACTTATGCTCCAGGGAAAATCCTATGTAGTTAACTAAATAAATGAAACAGACAACCTATTACACCGGGAGAGACTTGGTAAAATGATTAAATGAGAAACAGGGTGGAGGGTGGCGGATGGGCTGCAATTTTAAGTAGGCTGGTCAAGGAAGGCCCCTTCGAGAGGCAATATTTAAGCTCTAGGAGGTAGACAGGTGTACTTAGGGAAGGAGGGATCTGGCAGAAGGAAAAGCAAGGACAAAAGCCAGTATGGTTGGGGTGGAATGAGCAACAGGGAGAGCAGAAGTGAGGGATGAAGTCTGAGAAGTGACAGGGGACAGATCATGCAGGGGACTGTAAGCCACTGAGATGTGGGATGGAGAAGCCATTCGACGAGAGGTTTTATTTAAAGCATTAATGTGATCTGGCTTTTTTTTTTATTGAGATATAAGTCACATATCATAAAATTCACTCTTTTAAAGTGCACAATTCAGTGGTTTTTAGTATGGTCACAAGGTTATGCAACCATTACCACTTCTCATTCCAGAACTTCATCAGCCCAAAAAGAAACCCCATACCCATTAGCCGTCACTCCCCTTACCCTGTCCTTCACAGGCCCTGGCAAGCACTCACCTACTTTCTGACTCCACAGATTTGCATATTCCAGTCATTTCATATAAATGGAATCACACTACGTGTGGCCTTTTGTATCTGGCTTACTTTGTCAGACATCTGGCTACTGTGATGGGTACAGGCTGAATGGAGGCAAAGACAGAAGCAGGGAGACCAGCAGAGAGATGAATGCAGTAATTCAAGTGAGAGATAAGAGAGGTTTGAAACAGGATGGGAAGCAAGATGGGAATAACAGTCGTATCTTGAGTACATGTGGGTAGACTGGATGGCAGGTAGGAGAAAGAAGAGTCAAGGACAAGGCGGGTTTTTGGCTGGAGCACCTGAATGGAGCTGACATCAACCCAGAGAGCAGGGCCAGGGGAAGTGGGAGGAAACGGCAGGGGCTGGATTCTGATGTTAAGTAAACCTGGGATGCTACCAGCTTTCCATGGGAAGATGCCACAAAGGAAGCTGGACAGGAGTCTGGAATTCAAAGGAGAGGTCTGAGCTGGAGATACACATTTGGGAATCTGAAAATGAAAACATTAATACCATGAAACTAGAGGAGATCACCAAGGGAGTAATTACTATAGAAAAGAGAGCACATCCAACCTAAGAGTCCTTGAGCATGTTAATATTTATAGGTCAGAGGGATGAGGAGCAACCAGTGAAAAAGACTGAGAAGGAAACACCAATAAGGTAGGAGAACCAAGAATGGAATCTTAACAAACGGAAAAAGTTCTCATGGAGGAAGGCACGGTCAACTCTGCCCAGCGCTGCTGATGTGCCATGTAGCAGGGAGGACTGAGAATGAAGCACCGGGTTGAGGAACCGGGACCGTGATCAGCAGTCATTCACAGACCACGGATCCTCCCTCTGGCCCCCCCGGCACCCGGCCCCCCACCCCCGACACACCCTGTGCCGGAGGGAGGAGGGGCGCGCCTTTCCCAGGGCCGCTTTGCAAAGGCGCAGGGGGGGGGGGGGGGGTCAAAGGCCCAACTGCAATGGGTTCAGGAGACAGAGGGAGGAAAGGGATTATAGTCAGGGGTAAACCCTTTTGAGGAGTTTAGCTATAAGGGGGTGGAGAAACAGCTGTAGTGGGCAGTGGGGCAAAGAGAGGGCTTCCTGTAAGATGCGAGAAATAAAAATGTAAAGAAGGAAACAGGATAAAGGAGAGGGCAGGGAAATGCTGGGACAGGTTGGAGGGAGACAATTACACACTTATCTGTCAGACAGCCTGCAATTAAAATATAAGTCATCTACTGATGTATGAAAAACAAGTAAGGATATGCTATCCACCCCCCACCCCCAGGAGACACAAAACCCATCATTTAAAAGGATCTGGATCTACTTTTCAAGGCTGAAGATACTGAACTGATTGTACAGGGAGGGTCAGGGTTAGGCTCTGGGCTTGGAGTCGTAAGAGCCAGGTTCAAAGACCATGACAAGTTACAACATCCCAGAAACTTCTTTTGACCTCCCCTTTACATCCATTAAATATGGATTAAAAACAACCTGTCCTTTCTACCTTACAGGATTGATGAGATAATCAGATGAAATATGCAAACACTGTAACTCTTGGGTGTCGTATCCCCGTAATGCGTTTTTAGTGCTATCAGAGAAGGAGGAATTGTATATGCTTGGTCTGATTCCAATACCCTACACTTTAGCTCCAAGGGGGGGGGGGGAAACAAAGGCAAAATCAAACATTTTTGGCAGAATAAGTATGAAAAAAATAGCTTTCTGATACTGTATTTCAAACACAGTAAGTTGTACAGGAATTATGCCCTAATTTCCACCTTTAAAAAACTCAACAACCAAAAATCTTTTAGTTTAGATTCAGCTGAGCCTGGGGCAAAAATAAAAAAAAAAAGTACACTAAATTTGACTGAAGGCATGAAGCCAGCCCATGCTTACAAAAAGATGTGACCTAGTATCTTTCCATGAATCTCTCTTACTCTTCATGGTCCCTACCACCTGCCAGGATCAACTCAACTCAAAAGACTATTTCGTCCTTAACTTCTCGCCCAATAATGGACATTGATTAGTCAGTGTTTAAAAGAAGGGTTTTTTTTTTTTAAGTTATTATCTTCATTTATTTTTAACTGAGGCTGCTTCGTGTATGGACCATAGTTCTTCTTAAAGAAAACACACCTTACAAGGAATCTTGATCAAGCCATTAACTTTTCTCCTGATTTTGTCAGGTCAAGTACGACACGGAGGTGTGGGCTCACTTTTTCTAATAAGAATAAGAGTATCTACGTATATCGAGGAACTGTTAACAGAAAGAATTCTGAGATGGAATTTATAGTAGACACCAAAGCTGAGCTGCCCTCATTGCTCAAGCTCCCCCTCAAATTTGGGCTGAACATTTTGGTAAGAATCCAGCTGGCCATGAGACCTCACAAGATTTTAAAGGAACGTGCAAGAGACAGAATACACAAGGAAATACACACACACCTATATATATGGACATATACATACACTTTTCCTTTAAAATATGTCTTTATCTCTCTATACATGCATCACTTGGCAGAGGAATCAGAGCTTCCTTGTGAAATCAATATGTATACCATATACAATTAAAAGGAAAAAAAGAGCTTAGTTATTTCTATTTATAAAGGTATCTTCACATTTATGACATATCGTTTGTAGACCAATAACATATTAGATACTTTACTCAGAATCCTAATCTCCCACTAAAACCTCGGTTACTCCCTAAGATAATTCCACTTTATAATGACCTACATTATAGAATTTATAGGAACAGATTACTCTGATGGATAAGCATAGCCACCTAAAGCTCCCTCAGTCACAAACTTCAGCATTATTGGGGAAAGGATTTATTTTGAGCAAGTGATATTTTTTTTTAAGTTAAAACACATTTAAGGCGCCCAAGTCATTTAAGCATCAGTTTTAATTTATTTTTAAAGAAAGTTTTATCATGATACATAGTACCCTAATTACCCTGGTAAGTATTAACAATATAATTAATGTCAGTTAACATTAATAACATATTAACTAATCTTAATTACTTAGGGTCATCAATATGATTACCCAGCAATAGACTACATTATAAAATCTTCACAAACTTAGGATTATCTGAGGAGTGTGGAGCTTCTCACCCTCACCCTATTGGAACCAGGCTACACTTTTTCTCAGATGACGGCATCTGCCTCTTACAGCTTCTCTGCCTCCCGTGCCCTTTGGGGAGGTGGCCAGTCATGTCCTGCTCCTGACAGCAAGTCTGTATCTAGCAGGCTCCCCCAACTCCATGCAGCTATCTATGCATTCTCAAAGCAGTAGAATTAGAGCCCCGTGCCCAAAGTGAAGCGCCTCTGTCCCAACCCAGCTGCATGGCCCCGGACAGACAACCCACGGAACCCCTTTAGGAATTCGTGTCCCTATCCATACAGTGAAAGAACTGGCCTGAGTGATCTCTAAGTCCCATCCAACCTTAAGACTCTGTGATGAATCTTGTTAATGGCTGGGGAAATTAATATCTAAGTTCATCAGAACTGTGCCCAAAGAAAGAACAGAGAAACTCTGACAAATGACCTCAGAGGTTCCTATACTTTGTGCATGGAATTTATAGTCTCCTATTTTTGCTATGTTGTGGACATTTGGGTCTTCTAGGCTCTTTGTTATATTTCTAATAAGTGAGGTTCTTATTAAATGGGAAAGAATTACATTAAGAGCTTTTTAAAAAAGAAAATTAAATATGACTCACATATACTTCTTCCACATAAAAGAATTCAAGAATTTTTCAAAAATCCAGAGTAAATTATTCCTTTATGAAAACTTTTGTTTCTAAATGCATTTCCATTTGATAGATCAACAAAATGATACCGTATACTAAAAAATGATTTACCTATAACTACATCATGACCATCAACCAAGCCAGCAGAGAAGAGCTCCTGAGATACGCCATCTGCCGTATCTGTCCAAATGTGAAATGAATATGTATTAGTAACCATAAAATAAAAATCAACAACCCAGTACAATGTAAAAGATATTTTCCATTTACAAAAATCACCCACGTGTGTTTTAATTCAACAATTCAGATTCTATCAGAAGGAAAGATCAGAGGTAATGTGAAATATATTTTGCCATATACAATTTGCATCTTGGTGTTTATTCAACAGAGGTTCTGTGAAATTATGATTTCATTTTTGGTGAACCAAAAAACATTTGCCCTTTGGCTACCACCTGACTTAATCCTCAAATGTACCTCTGTAAGTCAGCTCGTAACGGGTCCCAGTGACACTGTTTTTTTTTCTTGCCAAGGTCAATTCCATCCATCATCAATCCTTTTCTATCATTAGTAGCTACTGAGTCAGAATTTATGGCAAAGGTTGAACAGGCAGCACTTGACACAACCTTATATTTGGTACAAACAGCCTTTGAGCTTGTTGGGACTATTAAGATGAGCTATTTAAATTTATGCTATTAAGAAACTCCTTTAACATGACATTGATCATTTGATAGCAACAGATTCATTCTCTTAGAAAATGTGGCTGGATAAAAGAATGTAGTTTCTCAATGATAAGTGACAGGAGTTAGAAATCTCATAAAGATGGGACTGAACAGGCTGTAGCAAGTGAATATAACCAAAATCACTTAATTGAAAGGTTGTGAATGAACATGGTAATAAGTGAGAAGTTTGTTCGAAGACTTTGTAAAGAGAAAGTGATAAATGGCCATGTGCTCAAAAGAACCATTATGAACCCCTATGTTTCTACAAGGGAAAGGACATGGTCCCCACGGCCTTCTGACATTATCACAAATGTTCAGAACTACAACTGGCTCAGCAGCTGGTAATAACCTAGAAGGTTTGCCTTGAGTGTCTTCCAAAGTCAGTTAGCACCTCAACGTATTGCTGCTGAATCAAACAAGCATCTAAATTGAACTGCAGTTTGCTATGCCTAAGGCTGCCCTCAGAGTGTGTGCGCGCGTGCGTGAGTGCTCATGTGAGCGGGTCGCTGATGGTAAACTTATCTTTCACATTTGTGGGCTTTAATGTGCTTAGCCCAGTGTCTGACACATAGTAATCACTCCATCAGTGGTAGCCGTGATGATGATGCTCAGCCAAGGATCATCTGAAATGTACCTCATGCTCTAGCGCACTCTCTTTCTCCCTTTCATACACGGCCCAATTTCCAGGATCTCCAATAAAAAATTTGAGAGCCACTGTATACTTGTTGTACGTCCAGAGACGTTGTGGTATTCCATCATTTTACTCATCCCATTTTATCATGAATGATGTGGAATAACATGAAGGAAATGGAAAAGAAAAAGGTATCTTTCTCAACTATGAGATTCCATACAAGGTGGGCTTATGTTGGGGCTTGTCCTTACTATTAGAAGTACAAAAAACACCTTATAAAATTCCCTCAGGGATAAAATGATCCCATAGCATGGTATCTAGGGTCAGAGGCTCTACTCTGCATGCGATGTAGCTTTATGAAGTCGACTGGAACATTCTAGGCTCACAATGTCATCCTCCTGGATGCCACCAGAAACTTCACTACAAAAAGCATATTGAATTAAGGTGTCTACCTAGTAGGCACAGGGCACACAGCAGGCAGTGATTGCATTTCTATGGACTGATCATCTATTAAAGCATCTGGATGTGTTACCACCACCTCTAAAGTATCAATAAGATCTTACACCTGAGAAGGATCTACACTCACAGAACGTAGTTGAAAATGGACTAATCAAGCAAAGCCACATTGCGGGCTAGCACTAAAACAGTACCAAAGCAAAGGACATTCCCAGTGATTAAAGTTTACAGCATCTCTGGTTATTCTCAGGACTCCTGAATACCCCATGAGTTTCATTCAAACAGCACAAGGGCCATGCTGGCCATTTCTGGCCCAAAGGAGAAATATTCCATGTTTGTGTACCATTAACCAGTTAATCTGTATGCATGTAAGTAATGTGTCAGTAATAGTTCAGAACAGAAACTGGGAGGTAATTGGTAACATTTTTCTGTAAGCTGCTTAATGTTCCTAATGTGTAAACAGGGTTAAATCATCATAAATAATCACATATGCTCTGGTTTCCAGAATATACAGCAACATCATAAATGCAAAGGGCTTGCTCTCAAGTGAAGACCGAGAGTATCTGCTCTGTTTGTGTTATACGCCCTATGCCGTACGACACGTTTCTGAGCGCGTACAGCGCGGACACAATGCACATGCGCGCACAGTGCAGACAGCATCGGCAGCCACAGAGGGATGGCGATATATCCGTGGGGGTTCCGTTACTAACGGCCTGTGCTCACGGCCCAGGGAAGGCCGACGCTGCGGCTTCCATCTGGGAAACAAAAGCAGACTGGACCCACGACGGCGAACGAGGCTGCCAAAGCCAGCGCAAAGGGCCAGGTGATGCCGAGAGGGCCATTTTCTCCCCCAAAATCCTCAACTGGGAAATTCATTTCTTTGTTATCTCTGGAAATTCAAATTAATTTTTACTGCCACTGTCAGTTTTAGATCATTAGACGGGGAAAAAACCCTTGAGAGAAGACTTTGTTCTTTTAGTCACTGTATTTGGAACATTTATTATATAATTACTAGATTTTTTTTTTTTTTACTTTTTTAAAAACCACAGCAGTCACTTTACTTTTAGGTTTGCACTTTACAAAACCACAAGGGAGAAGTCCTTGAGGGAGAGAGGTGTGGGAGTGGGGGATAGTAAAGAGGGGTATAATTCCTAGATTTTTATCATAACTATTGGCTGGTCAATATTCTTATATTATGACAAAATAGAGAGCTTTTGGATAATAGAAACTGGTGCTGTATGATTTCGTAGACTGACTCTAAACTGCCCAAGATGGATGTTCCCAGAAAGAAAGATCAATTAGCAAATTTATCAGGGCCTTATTTGCCTATATTTTGTAACAAGTACTTCATATGTTACTTTAATTCAAATATATTGGGAATCATTAAGTCTTTATGCTGACCGGGGACTAGACATCAGGGCCAGCGAGTCTATGCCCACTTTGGGCCCAGGAACATGTTCTGTTTGGCCAGCAGTGTTGTTTTTTTTAAAAGACTGAACGTGAGCAGACAGGACTGTCTGGTTTCCTGGAGTCCCCACCGTTTCCTCTGGTTCCTGTACACATCTGAGTTTGTGTCTTCTTACATTTCTAACAGCAGGGAGGTCAAAGCAGGTAACCCCTCGACCAAATATCACACCTTGAAGTTTCAGATTTTCAAAATTTTAGCAACTACGATTTATTTAATCAAATCAAAATTTACATGGAGCTCTAATACATGAAATAATTACAGAGTGTTATTAGCTTAATGTATATTAACATACTCAAATGTATGAGCCTAATGTATTTTAATAATATGCATTTTAGAAGATTTTCAATATAGATAGTGAGGCTGCTTTCATGTACTCAAAAATCTGAAACCAGAGGTCAGGGAGAACGATTAAGTCTCAGCATTAGCATCTGATTTTCACCTTTTTTGGGTTGTTCTGGTTATAAAGTAAAGAGTAGAAACAGCAATTTTTGCTTAACTACTAATCTTGTGGTTTCCAAAGGCTGTTCATATATGTTACTTATCCATTAAGTAACCAAAATTACTTGATATTCTCCTGCATAGCAGGCACTCAGTCAAGTGCTAAAGATACCAAGAAATGAGACATGCTTCCATGAACTCCAGGCAACCGGGAGCCAGGAAGGCAAGCAGTCTAGCCTTGAAGCTGTGAGAATGACAACATTCCTACCAAGCTCTATGGATGAGAGTAGAGAGGTAAAGTATAGCACTTTCTTGTGTGACATCTTATTTGTTGCTCACCTCTCCCTAGAACTGCTCTGTGCTACTCAGTACACTCATCACAGGGTCCTGTAGGCCCTGCGTCACCACACCAGTATTTCTTTTCATGGTCAAGCTAACATATTTCATTTGTATGTGTATATTAACGTGCAACATGTCACAGGAATTCATGTAGTCAGTACTGGTCCAGTTTGGATTCCCCGCAATTATTGCAAATCCTTCCACTCTTCCTCCCTTCCCTCCATCCTCCTTTCTTCATTTTTAGAGAAAGCAGTTTTGAATAGCAAATTATCACCACACACTTGTAATCAAGTTCTTCAATGCTCTTTGCAGCAATAAAATAATAATTTCAATTAAAACTTACCTCTTCCTGGAGTAAACTCAAATCGTATGTCATTAAGTTCCTTTCTGGAGTTTCTGAAATACATAACACATAGCACATTAAAATCCAATGAAGCACAGTTGAATCAAACTAAATATATTCCAATTTTTACAAGACACTACTAACACGCAGACAGCATTTACAGTTTTGGGTTACCTCTGAGTACTTCCTCAAAAACAAGAGATGGTTATGACAATAATAAAGGGAGATTTTTAACTGATTGAATTTACCTTATATAAACATGTTATTTCACAAAATTCCAAAAATAAAATGTTCTTTCATAAAATCTACACTAAATCAATAACCTTAAATATAACTCCATAATTAGAAATTTCAGATTTTAGTCTAGGATAAATAATATTTGATACATTTTTCATATCTTTCCTGAAAATAGTATTTCATCAATTATTTTTCAAAGTGAAACACTCAGGAAAGATAGTCTCGGTGGTGAAGTTTATGACAATACTGTGCGTTACACCATGCAACAAAATGCCCACAAAAGGATATGTAGTTTGTTATTAAAAATTTTATCTATGGGGCACCTGGGTGGCTCAGTCAATTAAGGGTCTGCCTTCGGCTCAGGTCATGATCCCAGGGTCCTGGGACTGAGCCCGCATTGGGCTCCCCGCTCAGCAGGGAGCCTGCTTCTCCCTCACCCTCTGCCTGCTGCTCCCCCCTGCTTGTGCTCTGTCAAGTATAAAATCTTTAAAAAAAAATTTATCTACCTAGAGGGGGAATCCCTGAATGTTGTGAAATTATCCATTGAATAAACTTTTTTAAAAGTAAATACAAAATGCTTACATAAAACTGTAATATATACATATATATGTATATTCAATCCAAAAACTGACACTAAGGTAATATGGAACAAGTAAATACCTAAGATAGGAATTTTCCATTCACATTAATTTCAAGAAATAATATAGGGCAGTGAGCTATAATTAGAATGGTTTTAAATTCTCATAAGAACACTAAAATATTATGAGTAACTCTCAAAAGATGCTACAATTAAAGTTAATAAAAATACCATAAGAAATTGCAGTAGGAAACAGGAAATAATAATTTCTACAAACACTCAACTATTTGCTCAGCTGCCAAGGGTCCAAGACAGAGATAGAGATGGCCTGAATACCCATCCCAAATAGCCTCCTCCTAGTGCCAGGAGAGTCTGATCAAATCCTGTTTAGTTCTCCAGTTTAGGACTCTAAAAACCCTGAGTAATATCTCCTGGTCTCCATGTACAGTGCCCACATCATGATGCCACCAGTCTCTGGGCCCTTCTTGGTCCCCAGCCTGAGCTTGGTTCTTCAGGTCTTATGATATCCTACCACACTAAATGCAGGAAGCCCAGAAAAATGACAAAGGCAAGGTCCCGACTTAGAGAAAGCCCTTCTCCCTAGAGAAGCTGGCCTAAGTCTGCACTTTTCCACAAGCAGAGAAGTAAGGGTCAAGAATCCAAGAGATGCCCAAGCCCAGGCCACAGTCATAAGAGCCTTAAACAACCATGTATCTTTTCCCAGGTATCCCCACCTGTCATTATTCCTCTCAGAGTTAGAATGGGACATGGGGCGGGGGGGGGGGGACGGGATATTGGCAATGGCTAAAGCTGTGCTTCTTTTAACATCTTCTTTTCAGGACCAAGGACTGAAAATTGTGGACTCTCACGCTAAAAAAGTAGACATAGGACCAACACATGAAATTGCAGACAACTGAAGATGGTTCAGAGATCTTGGACCCATAAGTGACTCCGTCCTGGAGATGGGGCAGGACATGAACAATCAGTGCCTACAACAGAAGGGCTTTGTGCCTGTGGCCTTGTTTATCTACCAATGTCACCACACATTTACATGGTGCTTTCATATACATCAGCAGTTCTCAAACTTTTTTTTTTTTGTAAACCTCTATAATGTCTGGCTTAAGATAGATGGATTCTTAGTTTTGCTTTTATATTCAATCTGCTGCAATATCACATATCATGTTGCCAGCCGCTGGAAAATTCTACTCTAAATGTTGAAATAATGAGAATGAAAAAGGCACATAATTTATAAAAATAGTTTGACCTCATGGGCTCCCCGAAAGGGACTCAAAGACCCCCCCCCCAAGGATCATAGGACCACACCTTGAGAAACACTGATATCAAATCTCATGAATCAAATCTCATTTGATTCCAGCAATCAATCTTTGAGATACGCAAAGTAGGTACTATTTGTTTTCCATTTTTTTAGATGAGCACATTCAATGGCCTTTCCAAGTTTACAAATTGAGTGGCAGAGTGAGGACCAAAATTCTACACTGGAAATGCCTAATGCAAATATAGAAAAGCGCAATTCCTTTCACTTTTGAGAAAAACAATATTCCTCGAGATTTTTTACATTACCATAAAAAGATCAGCAAGCATTCTTTTATTTAATAGCGTCGGTTTTATGTGCTATGTATCAACGAAGGTTGAATTAGAACTAAAACAGTCCAGTAAGAAAAAAAAATGATCACTAGGAAAGCAAGCATTTATAGTATATTTAATAATGAAATGACAGAAGGAGGAAAAAAGGAAAAGGAATTTGATTTGATGCTAATTTAGGTCATTGTTCTTTCCCTCTCTTTCTTTTGGTCAGTCTTGTCTAAATTAGTTTGTCCTACTAAGGCCATAAGAAGAGAGGTATAAGAACTCTACCTGGAATATCATCATGCACATCCTGATTCTTTCAATATTAATACCACAGAAGTAATATCCAATACCCATAATCTCTACATCAACTATGGCTCAAGTTACAGAGGTTGCCTAATCAAGTCATTCTTTTATGACTCTGAACCTAAAATACTTGCCTTTGAAAAGATCACAGTGATTGATTGTGAATAGTAGACTTGTCTCATCAGGTTGAAATATAGTTGGAAAAATGCCTAATTGGATCTAACTACTGAAGGTCATCCTTTTATAAAGAATTAATCTTTTCAGACTCCTATTTAACACCTTTAATTGAAAGTACATTTACTTTAATTGATATGGCACAGGATATTCTTGATTTCAAAGAAGCTGAAAATAGGTATGATTTAAGGCCAGAAACTAAGTCTGTGCAACTTTATAAAGGAAATGTTTAAAACTTGAGAGTAACAGCTTTAAGACCCGGGCTACCTTTGATAACTCTTATCAAAAACCCTGTTAATCCTGGAGTGCCTGGGTGGCTCAGTCGGTTGAGCATCCCATTCTTGGTTTCGGCTCAGGTCATGATCTCAGGTCCTGGGATCAAGCCTGAGTTGGGCTCTGTACCCAGTGCAGAATCTGCTTGGTATTCTCTCTCCCTCTCCCTCTGCACGACCCCACCCTCTCCCGCCCTTGCTCACACTCTGTATCTCTCTAAAATAAATAAATAAAATCCTTTAAAAAAAAACAAAAACCTTTAATCCTCAAAATAACAACAACAAAAACTCACCCCAACAAAAAACATACTCCTAAGTTTGATAAGCACAGACCCTTCTCATTGTAGGTATATATTACATCACAAAGGCAAATGTATGCAGGGCTCAGGCAGAATATTTATTGTTTAAAATAGGTGACACCATCACATGGTTTAAACCCAAAAGATACAATAGGGTATTCTGTAAAACCTAGGCCTCCTAGTCTTGTCACTCAACTACCTGGTCTCCCTCAATGATATAGGCTTTTTGTACATCCTTCCCAAGATGTTTCATGCATATATCAGCAAATACACACAAATAGTTCCTTCTTGCCTGTTTAATACAAATGTAGCATACTATATCCATTGTTCTGCACCTTGCCTTTTCTTTTTTTATTTTTTATTTTTTAAAGATTTTATTTATTTATTTGAGAGAGAGCGAATGAAAGACAGAGAGCATGAGAGGGAGGAGGGTCAGAGGGAGAAGCAGACTCCCCGCTGAGCAGGGAGCCCGACGCGGGACTCGATCCCGGGACTCCAGGATCATGACCTGAACCGAAGGCAGTCGCTTAACCAACTGAGCCACCCAGGCGCCCCCCTTGCCTTTTCTTTTAATAAAATACCTTGGAATTTCTCCCTATTGGTTCATAGAGAGCTTTCTCATTCTTTTTTTTTTTTTTTTTTATAGCTACATAGTATTCCGTTGCCTGTGCTAATCCTTTCTTGAACCAGTTCCCATTCTATGAATAGACTGTTTCTGGTCTTTCACTATTATAAACAATGCTCAATGAATAACCTTGTTCTTATGTCATTTTGCAAATACACGAGTATGAAAATAAATTTCTAGAAGCAAGTTGCTTGGTCAGAGGATAAATGCATTTGCAATTTTATAGATATTGTCAAATTCCCCTTCATTTAAGTTGTACCAATTTATACTCTCACAAGCAATTTGCAAGCACCATTGCAGGAACTTTCAATGAATAAAGCAGGAAGTACAGTAAAAAAAAATCAGGGAGATGTGTTCTGCCGGCTGGAAAGTTTCTTCCCCATTTAAAAAGGGCAACCACTGCTCAGCACCAGCTGGTTAAGCCAGACAGGAATTTGGGCTCAATCACATTTAAACACACACACACACGCGCTTGAGATACATATAAATATATAGGTTATACGTAAAATACATATGCTATATATTATATATAAATATACAGGTTATATGTAAAATACATATGCTATATATTATAAATATACATATATATATATTTGCTATGTTCATTCAAAGTGACAAATCCAGAGATACAGATTGTCATGTTTAAAGTCTGCCTTCTTGCTCATTCAATTCACCTGCAAGGGACACAGTGAACCCTTGAATGAAGCAACTGGCTCGGAGGGTGGGGATGACCATCACGTGAGTGAGCACGCAAGCGTTCCTGGTGACGGAGGTGCAGCGGGCCTGCGCAGTTGGAGTCTGCATTTTCTAGGATGTATCATTTTTTGCACTTCTTAACGTACCACGTCAGAACAGTCTGATAGAGTTATTGCTCCTGGAGGGCTCCAAAGCCAAAATGCCAGCTCAGGACTATGTGCATTCCTTAGCTTCACATTCATGTCTTTTAGCCCACACCAAAAAAGGCACACATCCCCCA